GCCCCCCCACCGCCAGAGAAAATATCAAAATTATATTTATGGTAAAAATACACTAAACACGCTATTAATGTACACAATCCCAACAAAATTCCTGTTAAATCTAAATGCTAAAACAGTACTGTGTTTATAAATAAAGCTCTGTGTGTAATTGAGGTCTTGGGGCTCATTCACATGGGTGCTGTGTTCTGTAGAGTGTGAATCAGTGGTTTGTTTATGTGGCTGGAGGCGCTTGGAGCTGTTTGCAGACAACCTATGTTACACTATAGAAATACTGCAGGTCCTAATTTGACAGGCATGTGGGTGCAGGTATACATACAGTGAGCATTCAGGGCCACTTCCCCACACCTGTCACATTAAAACATGTGTTCATATAACTGCTGTGTCCCCATAGCGTAACAGGTGTCTCCAGCCACATGAACAACCCAATCATTCATGCTGTACAGGCCAGAGGACCTGTGTGAATGTGGCATTTTGACTTTTTTTTTTTTCCCTCAGCTCATTAATTTCAATGGGCTGCCTAATGTGTGGGAACATGCAAAAATACTGCAGGCATATTATTTTAAAAGTGTGTTGCCCCTAACCGCACAGTAGTGTGGTGCCATGCTTTTTGGTGGCTGTGAATGCATCTGTGTTTACTAGATGTGCGGAGGTGCAATTAAGTATTCATGGTACCTGCACACATCTGCAAGGGGCATTGCGTTTCTTTGCTGTGCAGGAAAATGCATGCTCTTGCATGCATTTCTGCACCACAAATGGTGTGAACAAGTCCTAGGGGCCGGTTCACGCTATAGAAACACAGTCTAGATGTATTCTAGATGCTTTTTTTGCATGCGCATTCCGATGCATTTTTCCTGTTCATATTTTGCTCTTTTTCCTCTTCAATCCAATTAGGGATATGTGCATTCCAGTGCATTCTGGTGTGTTTTTGATGCGTTTTACCGTGTTACAGTACAGTTCTATGCAGAAAAATTTCAGCCTGTTCTACTTTTTTTCTGCAACTGGAACGTACTGGAACTGCAAACGCTGATGTGAACTATGATATTGACAACCATATCACCTACTTTCTGTGCATTTTGGATGCAGAAAAAAAAGCTACTGAAGTGCATGTAGTGTTAACTGGTCCTAAAGGTTATTATAGGTAAGGGAACGGGACTGAGCAGGAATTGTGAATGCAATTAGGAATCTTCTAATCATGCTAGATTTGAGCTGTAGGTGATAGGAAATAAGACACATTCAGTAAATAAATAGTTGAATAAAAGATAGATTTGCAGCGGGAACAGGTGATGACTGTGGGGGGATCAAGTTGTATAAGGAAAAAGAGGTTTGTAGCAGTGAACAGAAAGGGATCAGAAGTCTGGGGGAGAGGAAAGAAACAAAGTTGCAATCAAATGTAAACAGAAGGAAACTTGAAAGTGTCAAACTTGTGGAGCAAAGCAGGAGCACCTCTAACATTCAGAACACTGAGCCGCTGGGTGATTGAATGAGTGGAGGCTAACGATTGAATGACAGGAGGCTAACAATGGAATTTAGCAGCTGCAGATAGGCTTGTCAGCTGCCCGGGCCCCCCTCTGCAGCTGATGGGGCCGGGGCCCCTACAGGAGGGCTAGGGGTACCCCCCTAACTGTTGGTGTCAGCAGGGGTCACACTCGTGTCCCTTTTAAACCTACCCCCCACTCCCCCCAAAAAAAGTCTGCATCACTTTGGTAAGCAAACTTGCCTGTAATGAAGGATGTCTGCACTTTATGCAGGCAGCTGAAGCCTGTAGAAATCTTCACTGCCGAGATGCCCAGTCCGATGCCCAGTAATAATGTCTCTGAATTTCCGGTACTGAGGGGATTAAAAGATTTAAGTCTTGTATGAAGCAGCTATGAAAAGTTCCCAACACAGACACACCCCATCCTCCACCATCATGGGAATCTAGAAAAACAAACATGCATACTCGCCTATATGCTGTAGCATTTGTCCCCCCACTGGCTCTAAGCCCAAGAACTAAGCGCCCACATGACCACTCAGTTCTTGATCCACTCAGAGCAGGGTGCAATGACTGTCAGCTTTTGGAGCTTCCTCTCTCCTCTTGTTCTGCCTCCCTAGCGCCTAACTTCTATGTTGCACAATCTCATTTAGGCTTTCCATTCCCCAGCTCTTATTGGTTTGACAGAAAGGTGGATACCTCGAAATGCATTGTCACAGTAACAGGGGATGCCTAGTTCTACCTGGAAGTGCAATATGTATATCTTAGAGTCAGTATGCTATGTGGTGCCACCTCCCTAATAGGAAACTAGAAAATAGCTGGATGGGAGTTTATAGTGATTTACCAGTAGTTCACCAGTGATTTACTTGCATAAACAATATCACATTAAAAACATTTCAGATTTATATTTATACATACTTATTAAAAAGCATAGTTTGAGAGAACAAATTAAAACCAAAAACTGATGATCAAGTATGTACATAACCAAGCCACCATTAGAGAATGATATATTAAGCAATAATAAATGCCAACATATCTGGCCTTAAACTGATGCGTTTCGATTCTTTGTTCACAGGGTTAATGCCATGGTGGACTCTGAAATATGAGTATTTACATATATCTCCATCATAAAAAATGCAATACAAATCTTGACCCATACAATACAAAAAACACACAATCATCAGATATGGCAATATATTGGTGGATTGGGTGCTCTCCCCTGCATAGGTCCTGTAGTGTATACTCAAAGGAAGCCTATGTAGCTGTCCCAAGATAACAAAACGATAAACATTATAACAAATGAATTACCAAAGAAAATATCTTGTAATAAATTAAAGTCTATCCTAAAAATAGGCTTACTAGTGATTGAGCGGTAAGAGGAAAAAGAAAATTGGCAAAACATCAGCAAGATGGAGCCTTCACTCCCAGCTTGGATTCTAATGAATAGAGAGGCAAAAGTTCACTCAATATTTCTGAAAAGAATTGTTATATTTTCTATAAAATACTATACTACTGAGTAATAGGACATAGTTACCTAAAAGGTAAATTAAACAATGCCTATTGTCCCACAAGCTAAATAGTCACTCAATCCAACTAAGAGATGGAAGGAAGGAAAAACATCCAGTTTCAATGTGCAATATAAGTGACAAATAATTCATATATCCTAATAATTTTGCAAAAATGCCCAAAAAAAACAAAAACATAAAGAAAATAAATACAAATGAAAACATGTAACATGGGATGGCTTACTAGATGGCTAACTCCTGCATCACTACTGGTACATAAAAGGTAGCATTCAAGCACACAAACTACTATGTCCTATGATTATCTAAAGGATGAGGCCTTCCATCATGTGACCGCAATTGACCAGAGTTGTGCTTTTTGGTGGCAAAACTGCCCAGTTGCATCAGGAAAGGCGGGAGGAAGACTGCACCTCCCATTATGTGTCCTCTGCTTCGTTCCAGGATGTCTGACCCCACTTTCTGCACTGCTGTTTAACGTCCTTTGTGTTCCATTAAGTATACACTATGGGACCTGCGCTGGGGGGAGAGCACCCACTTCACCAATATATTGTCATACTCTGTTGATTGTGAATTTTGTTTTTGTATTGTATGCGTCACTATTTGTATTGCATCAAATTATGCTTTATAATAAGTATGTTTTTAAATAAATCTGTAATGGTTTTTAATGTGATCTTATTTTTATGTACGTAAATCCTTGGTGCTTATAAACTCCCATCCAGCAATTTTCTAATTTGTACTAGATAGTGCTGTGTAGGTTGCTCGATGTCCAGCTTGAGCTCTGCTCCAATCCTTCTACATCCTCCCTAATGCTTGTGCATGGTATCCTTTTAGCTTTTATTTTCTTTTAGCTTTTATTTTTTAGTGTTTTATATTATTTTGGTTTGACTTGCAGGTTGCTTTGCACATTTTGGTTTGGTGCCTTTCATGTTATCCACCATTTTCTATCTGGTGGCCATAGCAGCAAATATCTTCTTTGTTATACAAATTTCTGTATATAGTTTTTAGTTAATGGTACTTGTATAATTGGCACTCTAGGATTTGCATTACATTACTTTAAAGCAGGGCTCAGTCACTATAGTGCACGGTATAAATTTTTGCTCATCTTGATAAATCCAATACACACTGTTTTGTTCTGGGATGTAAGATTTATCTAACGTGTTTGGATGGCAACTATAATTTCTGCTGGTGAAGGCTACTCCATAGTTTGCAGCAGGTCATCAGGGGCATTGGGTGGGTCTTATACTGAAAGAACCAGACCCAAAGAATTCTGCCACTGCATGTCAGTGATCCAGGAGAACAGTTGCAGGCCAAGGTTGTTTCCGGTTTGTATCATCTTGGGACTGATCCCGTGCAAACATGGTGAGTTATTAGACAAGGTGTTTTTTTGCAATTCTTACCCAATCTTAACCATTTTGAGGTGCATATTTGTGCCAATAAATAGTTCATACTAGCCAAAAGGTATAGAATTTACAGAATTACAATTAAGATTTCAGGGCGGTGGAAACTGTGTGGCAAGAGCCCTGAGAAGCCATGTCTTTGCATACCGCAGGTTGGACATGCCCCCAGCAGAGCAGGCTTCTATGAAGGCCTGACTGTTTTGCCCTTTATGGGAGAAAGGCTTTTTGGTACTTTGCTCTATTTTGTTATTATGGTTTACATTACGGTAGCATGTCTAATTTGTGGGTGATCTAGTACGTTATCAGGGCAGCCCTGATGACATACCACCCTCAAAACCCATGCAATAGAGATGCTACTGCAGTGGAAGCCGTAATCACAAAATTGAGCAAAGTACTATAACTACCTTACCATGTCTCTGAAACCTTTAAAATTGGACTTGGGTGTTCACTGAAAACTAAAATTGGTTATAGTGGAATTTGACCTTCTTTGAAAAGCTTTTGCTAGGTATGCACTAACGTAGACTAATTGCTTTAGGGTTTTATTCCATATCCAGTATTTTGAAAGCCCAGAGTGATTAATTTACCTATTTTCATATTTTTCAATTACAGAACTATCTGAAGTGTTGTGGACAATGGTTTTGAGGATGGGCCTTTATATGCCACACTCCATTCTTGGGGTATTTCTTCTGGTACTAGCCACAGCTGCATTTGTAGCATTGACCATTTTCATTCTTCTTGTCATGGAGGGACTTTCTGCTTTCCTACATGCAATCCGTTTACACTGGTGAGTTGCTTTAAAAATATATTTTTGTTGTCTAGACAATTGTTCACGCATATTGTTTAAAACATTTGCAGATAAAATGGAACCTGTGATGATAGAAATCATTGCTGAGGGACCATTGCTGAAGTAATCAGGGAACTAGAGGTCACTTAGCAAAAACAGGCAAGCAAATGTAAGGCTGTTTCTTTTTGGGATGATTTCCCTTCACTTCCTGTCCCAGAGACCCAGTGAGAAAACAGAAATGTCTAAAATGAGGGGAAATGTTTGGATTTTGCCATCATTTTCTGTCTGAGTGACAATAGTTATTAGGACAAACGGAGAGGGAAGGATCTGAATCTCTCTCCAGAGACACAGACAACAATAAAAGCGTAACTATTCCTTACTCTATCCTATTCTAAAACAACAGTGTTATCTGTTAGCTGGAGAATTTTAAATACAAAATATTGATTTCTTCATATGGCTAAATCTAACTGGTTAATTCTATATGTTTTTTCTATCATTTGTATACTGTATTTAATGATGAGCTGTTGATAGCCTTTGAGCATGCAATGTACTCAATCACTGGTGTTTGCATAAAGAATGAATAACAGAGCAATATTTTCTTTATTTACAGGGTGGAATTCCAGAACAAGTTTTACTCTGGTGCAGGATACAAATTTACACCTTTCTCTTTTAAACACATGTCCCTCCATCTGGACAAAGAATACTTTCCATAGACTCGTGCTTCCTCAGTTATACAAAGCAGAATATATGAACCATTTGGTGCCATTTCTATCTTGCTTGATGAAAAAAAGCGAGGCAACAATTTTTGAGCCAAAACATTTTCATGGACTTACAGTGGGAAAGGATTAGAACATCTGTTAAGTTTTTAGTACTGTCCTTTTTGGTGATATTTCCTCTTAATTAAGAAGAATTAAGCCTCTGAATATGAAAATAGCCAAAACAAATATTTAAAAGAAGAATGTAAACTCATCTTTTCTGTTGCCCACATCACCAAAACACTTAGTCTTTTTCCCTTAAAGGCTTCCTACAAAACTGACTATTCCTGGCTTGTTGATATCCTGGGTCCCTCACAGCTCACACTGTCATGAGCAGATTTTCAGGAGAAACCATTAAAGTACTGTGAGGGGCTCAGGAAATAGGCACTCCAAAAGTGTTGGTTTCCAGGCAGATGTTTCAGGATGATTCCTTAAGAATGGAGCAGGTTTTGGTGTGGCACAGGCAGAGAGAAAGGTATTCACATTCTTTTGGAGGTATTTGTTTTGGCCATTTTCATATTCATAAAAGGGTTGCTGTAATGTTGTAAGTTTTCTCATTGGAGAGATGTTCCCTTATTTCCTGTGCTGATGGCATCCTAGGGTCAGTGGCAACAGGCTTTGGTTGATTACATCCGTTTGACACACTTCTGGGATTCTTCAAAGTTTATTGACAGCACCTATCAATTTGACTTGCAGTTGATTTTCCTCTGATGTGCATTCGACTTGCTTCAAGCAGGTTTTGCATTCCTGTAGACTTGTATAGGCATGCAAAACCTGCTTGAAGCAAACTGAAGCCTATCAACACAGGCCCTACATGTCTAGCTGTCATCGGGACACTAGGTGAGTTGAAGACTTCAAGAAAAACGAATACACTCCTTCCTGCAGTATCCCAGTCTAGATCAATGTATTTTTAAGTGTTAACTGCCTAGAAATCCTTTGAAAAAAATCTAAGCAAAAGTATATACTTTAACATACTGTACAACTACTGTTAAATTGAGAAAGTAAGCATTATTTTATGATTAGTTTCTCCCATAATTTCCTACCTCTCAGAAGCATTCTATGCTCATTGCCAGATGAACTTATGTGCTTTATCCTTGCAAACTGTATTATAAAAGCTTTGAAAGATATCAGAATTTAAACAGAACTTAGTTTTCTGATTTTTTAATATGTCAGTGGTAAAATGTAAATTATACTAAATCTTTGATAGATAATTTAAGCTAAGAACTAAATATGAATGGTGTTTGTAATATATTTATAAGAATGTTAAAAAAGATGTAAAATAATTCAAATGTACAGTATTTTAAATGTTGTCTTTTCCTACTAAGGTGGACAAATAATCAGATACCTACAAGTATGTATGTTGCTTGTGCAACATTTACATTTTTTTTTTACATTTGCATTCTTTTACTTGACGGAATTTACTTCTTTTTCATCTGGGGACTTTGTAAAGGATATGTTACAAAAAATAAATACTTGATCAGTTTTGACACTTTTAATGTTTTTCTGTCATTAAATTTGTGCCATTTGTAAGAAACGTTACTGTAACATAAGGGAGGTGTGATAAGTATAGTAAAGTTCAGTGAGCTCCATTTTAAAGAACGGCACAGTGGGTAACTGGCACAGTGGTCAGTGATGTCTTCTCAGCACCCCTTTTTTTCCACAAGGTTAAGTACACAGTTCTGTACTACCACTATGCCAAGACAGCTGTATGGATGCGATGGAGTGAGTTGTGTTCATCAGGTATCAAAATTTCCATCACCATAAATACTATTAGAGATGCTGAGACTCCATAACTGCTAAATTAGAGTTTGCCAGATTACCGTCTTGAATGCTCAAACATCCAAGTATTATTGATGATGCAGCACAATTTATATAGTATCAGTTCCTGAGTTCGTTTATATTACAGGTTAATGTCACAATGCTACCACAACTACATCCAGTTGGAACATTGTTTCAGAAGTCTGTCTGCTTGTAAGTTTATGGTTGTTGGGGAGTTCATAAGAGAATAAACCTTCTGTCAATTACAGAGAAATCATTCTATGCTTAATTAGTTTATTATTTTAATTTGTATTCTTAATCAACTTCTCACTGTCTTCCAATTCAACAAAGTAGCAGTACATCCAGATTGGTGCAAACTGAGCAAATTCTTGGGAGCTGTACACAGACCCCATGCTATGGGGATGGCCTGTAATTTAGCTTCAGGCACTGGATCCTGCTTGGGTGCTCACCTCAGTATCCAGTAACGTGTTGTTAGCCTCATGGTGCTTATACAAGTCCAGGGTCATGGTCCACCCCCATGGAACCCAGACACTGAAGACCGATCTGGAGGTCTGCCCACCTTGATGGGTGAAGCCTAGACCCTAAATGGGGACAAGTGACATGAACAGGTGAGACAGGTTTACCTTGCATTAGACCGATACTGTCACCTCATTTATTACTGTTTTCCTGAATAGCATTCATTTCTATAATAAACTATTGAAAGTAGGTAGGTGGTCTTTTTCCTGTTCCTTGGGGGCCCCCTCAAGATACCAACGGTCACACCTGAACACAGCTACGAGATCTTGGAAAGTGAATGCACTCAAGTCACCTCAGTTGCGATTGCAAACACTTCAGTTTTATTGGCATAACATCAGGGTTATTATACTGTAGTCTTTGGGCAAACACATCCTCAGACCATCCAATCAAATACATGTACATTGTTTTACCTTAACTCAACAATTATTTGTATGAGGTTTGCATTTTCACTCTTCTGCTTTATCTATCATACCATATCTGGTCTATCGCCCAGACCATGGCTGTAATCTGACCCAACACCCAAGACCATGGCTGTAATCTGACCCAACACCCAAGTTGTGGTTAAAACTTTTCAGAAGTGAGAGTAAACCTTATCTGCTTTTTTGTAAAGTTTGCAAAAACACTCATTTCTACATGAAGCTGGCATAGACAGTTTTGTTTAGTGTGTGTACAAATTTCATATATATGTTAAACTAGCATCTTGTATTAGTGTATACAAAATGGATTCAGTTATATTCCATTTAATCCTTTAAACTATCAGGAAATCAGGACTTGTGTTTGAAAACTACAGTCAGGTCCATAAATATTGGGACATCGACACAATTCTAACCTTTTTGGCTCTATACACCAACACAATGAATTTGAAATGAAACGAACAAGGTGTGCTTTAACTGCAGACTGTCAGCTTTAATTGGAGGGTATTTACATTCAAATCAGGTGAACGGTGTAGGAATTACAACAGTTTGCATATGTGCCTCCCACTTGTTAAGGGACCAAAAGTAATGGGACAGAATAATAATCATAAATCAAACTTTCACTTTTTAATACTTGGTTGCAAATCCTTTGCAGTCAATTACAGCCTGAAGTCTGGAACGCATAGACATCACCAGACGCTGGGTTTCATTCCTGGTGATGCTCTGCCAGGCCTCTACTACAACTGTCTTCAGTTCCTGCTTGTTCTTGGGGCATTTTCCCTTCAGTTTTGTCTTCAGCAAGTGAAATGCATGCTCAATCGGATTCAGGTCAGATGATTGACTTGGCCATTGCATAACATTCCACTTCTTTCCCTTAAAAAACTCTTTGCTTTTGCAGTATGCTTTGGGTCATTGTCCATCTGCACTGTGAAGCGGCGTCCAATGAGTTCTGAAGCATTTGGCTGAATATGAGCAGATAATATTTCCCGAAACACTTCATAATTCATCCTGCTGCTTTTGTCAGCAGTCACATCATCAATAAATACAAGAGAACCAGTTCCATTGGCAGCCATACATGCCCACGCCATGACACTACCACCACCATGCTTCACTGATGAGGTGGTATGCTTAAGATCATGAGCACTTCCTTTCCTTCTCCATACTTTTCTCTTCCCATCACTCTGGTACAAGTTGATCTTGGTCTCATCTATCCATAGGATGTTGTTCCAGAACTGTGAAGGCTTTTTTAGATGTCGTTTGGCAAACTCTAATCTGGCCTTCCTGTTTTTGAGGCTCACCAATGGTTTACATCTTGTATTCACTCTGGTGAAGTCTTCTCTTGATTGTTGACTTTGACACACATACACCTACCTCCTGGAGAGTGTTCTTGATCTGGCCAACTGTTGTGAAGGGTGTTTTCTTTACCAGGGAAAGAATTCTTTGGTCATCCACCACAGTTGTTTTCCGTGTTCTTCCGGGTCTTTTGGTGTTGCTGAGCTCACCGGTGCGTTTCTTCTTTTTAAGAATGTTCCAAACAGTTGTTTTGGCCACGCCTAATGTTTTTGCTATCTCTCTGATGAGTTTGTTTTGTTTTTTCAGCCTAATGATGGCTTGCTTCACTGATAGTGACAGCTCTTTGGATCTCATCTTGAGAGTTGACAGCAACAGATTCCAAATGCGAATAGCACACTTGAAATGAACTCTGGACCTTTTATCTGCTCATTTTAATTGGGATAATGAGGGAATAACACACACCTAGCCATGGAACAGCTGAGAAGCCAATTGTCCCATTACTTTTGGTCCCTTAACAAGTGGGAGGCACACATGCGAACTGTTGTAATTCCTACGCCATTCACCTGATTTGGATGTAAATACCCTCAAATTAAAGCTGACAGTCTGCAGTTAAAGCACATCTTGTTCGTTTCATTTCAAATCCATTGTGGTGGTGTATAGAGCCAAAAATGTTAGAATAGTGTCGATGTCCCAATATTTATGGACCTGACTGTATTAATTTACAGTGTTAAACTTTTCAAACTTGACGATAAAAATTCCACCATTTAGAACTTAAGATGGATGAATATGCATTACATCACCTCACGGGTTGCACTATTACCACCACTTCCAAATAAAGCCCTTTTATAAAGCACTCAGGCATTCCTACCACCCTTTTGTCACAAGGGCTTCGCTACAAAATGGTCGACACCTGGGTTGCTGTGTATTCCTTCACGCACAATCTTACCCTATTTGCGA